AAAGAATTCTTCAATGATCCCGACATGGAGTTCTACGTGAGATGCAGCAGCGGTCATACACGACAAGTCGATATCCAATCTTTTGGACGACCCCTGTACTCTGAGCAGCAGAGGGAGCCTCACCAAGACGAACCGGACTATGATCTTCCAACGGAATCTATTCCACCAAGTCCGCATCCGTCAAGATCAGATGCGCCTCATGAAGACGAAGGCACAGCTCAGCCCAAGTACAGAATGCGAAGGCCGGCACCAGCATCCATTGAAGAAGAGAGAAAAATCAAGCCGTTCGCGAAGAAGCCCATCACGTTCATGTTCCATGCAACCTATGGAAATCAGCTCCTCAGCATCATGGAAAACGGGCTCAGATCTGGGAAATCCCAGTCAAACCCATCGGGGAGAATGCATGTCCACATGGCGTGCATAGACGACGTCATCCTTGACGACGACGAGTCAGAAGCAGCACTAACCCATGTGCCAGCAGGCAGAGATGCACTGTTGATCCTTGCATTCCTCAAGGACCAGGACTATGGCATCCGACTCTCCGAAGAGCGAACAGCGCTGACAGATCAAACCATCGAGACGAAGAATATTGTTGCAGCATTTGAACCTGATGGCAGCACCATGGCAAGCAACAAGTGGATCATGAAGAAGCATCTCAGTTATGATGATTTTGAGATGTACGACACCAAGATCCGTGAATTCGCCGATGCCTTCTTCAGTTATGTGAATTCCGACAAACACAGCAAAGAAAAAGATACTTCCTCAGAGACCAAGAAGCGACGGCGCTCCACCGATCAGGACGAAGCTGAAGAGGAGACCATGGAACCCTCCGGGGAGAGATCCGTCAAGCCAAAGGTCACCTTGGAGTATCGCAATTGCGAGAACCTAGACGAGTTCATCCAGGAACTCAAAGAAATCTACCTCGAAACAGAAAGGAACAAGAAGGACGCCGAGGACGAGCTCGTGGAGACCAAAGAGAACCTCCTCCGCTTCATGGAGAAGTACAACAAGGATCCAAGAAGAGCTCATCCAAAATTGACAGAATGCGAGAGAGCCTCACTGGCACACGTTGATCCTGATGTCAATCTCGGAGAAGAAGAATTCTACTTCCGTCACCGAGGAGAATGTCCCACCATGGACGAGTACCGGCAGGCACAACCAGAATCCGGATATCCTATCAAGCTTCCACTTGGATTGAAGAAGCTTAGGTCACATGACGACCCGGAAATCATCCGAGCATTTGCCGATATCCTGGGATCGCTGATGCAGCCGACCGACCGTCCCCCTGTGGACCATCTCAAGACACATGAGTTCACCTCATCCCTGACGATCAACATGCTTACTTTGAACCATGGAAACCTCACGAGGAATCCAAAGCTGGATAACAGGGAGGTGTACAACATGGCGATGAAGGATCGACCAATCGTGAAGATGATGATGCAAAACAGTGCACACATCTTATGCCTGAATGAAGCAGACGCATTCTTCAGTCCTAATGATGAGAAATCCAGAGAACTCATCAAGACGTTCATCCGATTCGGGTACAAGGGCATTGTGATCAAGCAATGGTCATCCAGACCAGTCGCATGCTTTGTCCGCGGCGGACCTTCCGCAAGAGTGGAACTACTGGCAAGACATATTTCCACCAAGAGTCAGAATTGGGGAACCACATTCGGGATGTTCAGATGTTTCTTCGGCACCGAGGAAAATTGCACTGATCCTGAATACGACATTCCGACCTCGGACTGCTTGGCAACTACGGGACCATCCATGTTCACTGAATCCAAGAAGTACATTGGACCGAGATTGCCAACACGCACCATTGTCCAAGGACACGGACGAGACAAAGAGATTGTCGTTCTCCACATCGAGCAGAGTGATGAGTATCGTGGTATGCTCCCGAAATCATCCAACAAATCACTCCTCGAGTTTGACAACCGCCACGTAACGAGGGCAGACCTCCCGTTTGCTACCGTTGGAGTTTCCACATTCATCCATCAATCAGCCATGGAGCAGCACGGGAAGATCTTCAGAAAGAAATCATGCCGCTCGTAACGTTGTACCGATGCGATGCGATCACCGGAGACGCCAACAAATCCGCGAATACCTACAGCAAACTCCAGCACGTCTTCAATCCGGCAAACGGTCTCGTGAACATCCTCATGAAGGCATATCAGAGATTGTGGAATGAAACGAAGAATCTGCCACTCGTGGACAGAATGGAGCAGGCGAGGGAGACTTCGTGCACCCTAAAATCCATTGTCCGTCATCACCTGTACATGAAGAGCGGATCAGGATATGATCGAACATTCCCAGATGTGATGATGACTTTCGTGTTTGGACGGGGCAAGACGAATATCCAGCAGGCTTTCCGGAATGAAGAGATGAACGCCATGGGTGATGAACAACTGGAAGCCATGCGGAACGATCCGACGTCCGCCATATTCGATTACCGGGTATCATCCGCAGAGCGCTTTAAGCACGTGAACAATGACATGTTCATGAATGGCTCACAGGATTCCGACTCGCACAGTCCCCTCATGGTCTACATCCGCAGCAAATCCGCAGCCAGGCAACGCAACTATGAGAGAACCAAGGAGTACCTCAAGAAGAAGCAATCCTGGACCCCGCAAGAGTATAAGGACTACAACAAGCAGTGGGGCAATCAGATGCACTGGAAAGGCTATGGCGACTCGACCTGGAATGATTATGGAGACTATGGCAGTCAATCCGACAGCAGCCGTCGGTGGTACCGCTGATCACCTGATGAAGCAGCCACCTTTGGCAATCATTCGACTGACCGAGAAGACTCATACGTTCAGCACTACGAACTTCAACCAGATTGATCCTCACCGCCAACAAGACTATCCAGTGAGAGATCAATAGTTTCACATTCGTCCCGCATGTACATAGCGTTGTGCATCACCTTTCGATACATCTAGGTTATCTCACAGAATCAGTACAGACTGCTTTCCATTTTGCAAGTCAAGACATTTCATCCGCGCAGAAAATAGGATGAATCCAGTATTTCAATACACATGGCTACGGCATAAAACAAGGCTACGGCCAAAGGCCATGAAGCCAATGATATTTCATATCTAGTGCTGGAGATCAAAAGAAATTTGTGTCTGTTTGGTTTGTTACACAATTGATCTCCCGCAACCATTTGGCTCAAGGCCCTCTTTGTAGATAGCATATTGCATTCATGCGATAGCAGTACAAAGGCTTGCAGACCGCTTACAGGAATAAGAGTCAATACAAGCCACCAGGGACAATCCATCCTCCAATCATCCATATTGGCATATTGGACTCTCTCCGGAATAGATCCAGGGACCAAATCAACGACCTCTACTACCACAAGGGTACCAGTTCCCTTCTGGGATAGGCACCCCGGCAGTGGGCCTCACCCCTCCCCCTCCCCCCCCCCCCCCAAAGAAAGAAAAAGTTGCGGCCTGAGGATTTGATTTGCGTTTCTGTTTGGAAAAGGAGGTGGTCGAAAAGAATTCGGGGAACGCACCCCCCCCAAACAAAAATGCGGCCTGAGGTGTTCTCCGTTTTTTTTTGAAGAGGAGGTGTTCGAAAGGAATTCGGGGGCAAACACCCCCCCCCCCTCCCAAAAAAAAAAATGGCCGCCTAAGGAATTGTCCGCTTTTTTGGGAAAGGAGGTGAGGCCAGATTTCGAGCGGCACGGAGGAAGCCAGGCTGAGAAGGTACCTTTGGGGAAAACCTGACGTCGTTTTAGGACGGAGGTTGTCAAAAAAGGGGAACTCCAAGGAGACGACTTCGTTTTAAGCCGATCTGGTGGTCAATCAAGATGTAATTAGTAAGGCTATCAGATTTCTGGCGGCGTGGCTTGAGGCTGAGAAGGTACCCTTGGGGAAAACCCAGCGATAGGGGTGTGGGTCAAAAATCGAGCACTTGAAAGGCCCTCAGGGGAACCTAGTAAACGTCCAAAGGGGCCCTCGGAGCTTCCATGTCCGGAGTGGACCCCGAAAGAAACGTTGACTCCGTGGTCCTTGCAGACGGGAGATTCCTCTGAAAAACCGGGGGATTCCACCACTTGCAGAGATGGGAATGAGTTGAATGACCCGAAGTTGAACCATCCCTTGCTGGTGGTTTCCTTTAAGGGGATTCCTGGGTTCATTCCCACATTCCCTACTCAGCACCAAGTTACAGAGATGTCCTTTGAATGGCATTTTTTTTTGGGGGGGGGTTCCTTGCCTTGCTGAATCGCATCTCGAGGTGGACCCCCAGTAAAGGTCTTGTGTGGCTCCGGTCGCTAACCATTTAGCTGACTGAGTGGTAAGCATTTAAATTTAGCTCCCTGAATAACCTTGTCCTTTCAAGATACAAACTCTGAAACATGAGAACTGTTTCAGGCGTGACCGGCCGCTCTTTTTCACCAAATCATTTGCCAGGGACCGGTCATGCTCTGTTCTCGAGGCGGCCCCATAAGAGAGATTCCTTTGATCGGCTGTTTGGCTTCGAGAACCCCTGCCAGAAACAAAAAGAAGAAGACAAGTCCCTTCCTGCACCTCGACTCGCAAAAAATCAGGGGCAAAACACCCCCCAAATTCCAAAAAAATATTTGGGTTCCTTCTCCCCAAACGTCTTCAGGCATAGGTTTCCTTTTGATCGGTTAGTTCGGATAGACATGGATGGGGTCCATTGGTTTAGACGGGTTTTCTGCCGTCCATTTACCAACCAATCATGACTTTTCCACAAGGTCGCCTATGAAAGTGAGCTTTCGCGTGTCCCTTGGACTTCTTGACTCACCTGGACCTATGTTGCCAAAAGGGAATGGGTCAACCCACAGGCTCGTCTCTTTTTAGGTCGACCCCCAAGATAGGCGGTGCCCTTTTGCTTTCCAGGGAAAAAACCAACCACAAAGGGGGTTTAGCCAAAAACGCTGGCCACCCCTAAACTTGTCATTTTTCTATGGTTTGACGTATTCGGCCATTTCTCTGGCGCAAAAACAAAACAAAACTTGATCAACTCGCCTTGGATCCGGTGAGCTCTGCGCCAACTTCCTTGGGGTTCACCAAAGATCCGTAGTTGAAGTCCCCTGTGGTGATGTTGTACCTGCGCGTCCCGAAACCTGGACTTTACAAAGCGCGTTTGAAACACGCCCAGCAACCTGCGCGTCTGCTACCTCGGCTTGCATAGACGTCCCACCTCTTGCTGTGAAACCAAAAGCTTTCCGCATTTCCGCATACCGCCGCAAGGATGTCGCGTTTCGCCAAACCGATGAATTCTCCAAAAAGGCGAAGCATCGAAGACTACGGCTGCAACCGTGTAAAAGACGTCGACCACCTCTGGCTTGTCAGTGCTTGAATTCTCACACCAGAAAGTTGGCCAAGTCATCTTTTGTGGCTCTGCATTTTGAAGGTTCCCGTTTGGTTGGTTGGAAACAAACAACTTGGAGTGCAGAGGTTAAATGCATGAGGAACAAATGCAGGTCAAGGCAAAATAACCATGTAACCCTCCCCAGGGTCCATTTTTGCCTACAAGGCAGACTTAAACCCAGGGGTTGATTCCCCAAATGGGAAACTCCTTGGTTTAAGTCTACCCCAAGGCCCCCAAAGAAAAAACGGAACTCGGAGCCTCCCTTGTGAGGCCAAAAGAGGCCCCGAGTCCCCTCCCACGGAATCTGAGCCTTAGGGGCTGAACCAACACGCGGCACATTTGTTGCGGTACATGGAGAAGTAGACTACAACCTGCGGTCCACTAGCTCGGAAAAACCTCCATTTGCTTAAGCCCCCCCCGGAAAAAATCAATCATATATGATAGATTCCCTTTAAAACCAAAAGGGGAAAAATAACATAAAATATAATATTACGCAAATGGAAGAAAACATGAGCCACACCCGAAGTCATAATCCAAACCTTGTACTGAAATGGACCCAGAGCCATGCCTCAAGAAAGGCGGGCGGAGATCCGCACCGATTTATTGCAAGAGGATGTTCCCAACCATCATCTCGTTTTCGAATCGGTTTTGAGGACGTGGCTGAAATGGAAAACCCGGACTCTCCTCCCAAGGCACCTGATCCGCAACACCACCCTTCCCGTGAGGTACTCCGGAATCTTCCAGACGTAGTAATGCCTTGCAGCTGGAGGGCGGCCGAGCGTGGAAGACATGGGTGGAACCTCTGGTTGAACGGGAGACTGAAGTAGAGCCACCCACGTTTTGGGCCCCCCCTTTTTTGTGTATGACTTTCAATTGGGAACGCTTATAATGGGGATATATGGGGATCTATGTCCAGCCACCGTAGTGTTCTCAATTAAACTTCGCAAGGCCTAAGAGGAGCAGCCAAGCGGTTGCGCGCCTTCTTCCCAATCACTTTGACGACAAAACAACATGCCACCACCCTAGGGTTCCTAAAGCCCTGATAAAAAGAAAGGCCTTGGGGCCCAAGTTGGATGACAATCCTACACAATGGTGGTTACGTGATCCCCATGTTTGAATGGTGGTTTGAAATTTGAAATCCAGGGACCAGGGTTGCAACATGTTGCGACGCAGTTGAGGAATGGGAAATCCAGTACTTCAGTCCCCAGCTTCCAAAGCATCAATAAGCTGAGGGGAAAGCTGACTTGACGATGTTGCCATGTCCCGGAAACAAGTCAACTGAGCAAAGGGTTGGTGGATGGTTGCTGACAGCATCTCAGGAGTCCATATCCAGGTTCAAAAGTCCTTTCAGCACAAACTCAGCTGCCCAGCGGATTTCCATGGGAAAAGGGCATCATGTGTTTGGTTGGTTGAGTTTAAAGGGGAACCCTTCCAAAAAAATAAAAAGGAAAAAAGGGGCGCCAGTGGGCAACTGCGTACAGGTAGTTGAAGAAACCTAGCACTCGGCGAAGCAACCAGCAAGTCATTCCCAAAAGACCTCGGATACGCCGTTTTGACGATCGCTGTCGATCAGCTGATAAGCAGCCTCAATGTAGGGTCCCAGGTCCAAGGCAGATTGCCTGAAAATCGAGTCCCAGGCATGTGGCTGTGAGTAGACACCCTCGGTGAGACAGGCTGCTGCTGGAAGCCCCCAGGCTTGAGGCACGGGTTGAATGGCTGAGCCGCTGACCCGCTGCGGGATCTGTTTCAACACGCAGCAGAAAGGAAAGGCAACCACACGATTCTGAGATCTCGCAAGGTCTGGCCCGGCCAAGCTCTCAAATCTGGCGCCGCTCAACGCAGCATCTGCGCAGGCCGCCGAGCAACGAGCAAGTTGCCACCTGGTCTGCCACAACCGCGTTGGCGGGGCTAGGGCCACATGCGCACGGCTCACAGCTCAATCGATTTGCCCGCATCTTCCCTCGCCTCCAAGCTGACCTCGCTGCTCTTGCCGCAGTGAGCTACGAGCTGACCTCGCTGCTCTTGCCGCAGGGAGCTACGAGCTTAACAACTTGAGTCATCCTGGGTGCAACTAGAGCAACATGGTGACTAAATGACAATCGTTGCGGGCTTTCCGCGTTTGGCTTGTGCCATGTTGAACCCTTCGATGAGCTTTTGGGCGCCGGACGGAAGCCCACGGAAGCCCACGGAACGGCCACGGCAGAAAGCAAAGGCTTGGCAGTGAATCCATGCGCGGCAACAACACATTCCCGAAATGCGTAGCCCATGGAAGCTTGAGGTGTTTTAGCACGTGCTATTTTAAGATATGTTGAGCATGAAGCGCAGTCAAATGTGCTGGCATACAGTCAAGTGGTGCCAAACCCCTTGGAATTGAATAGTGCTCCCCAATCGCCTCGCTATGAAGCGGAGCCTGCCGTGGCATACACATGCTGCGTGACAAGGCGGCGTCATGGCGGTCAAACCCTATGGCATAGCCAGGCGCAGCGACCCAGCGTTGTGCTGAAAGCGCCGCCGGAATCGCACACCGATGACCGCCTTGCCCCTGCGCAGTTACTATGGGAGAAGTTACTGGTGATGTACTGTGGGAGTCACTGGTGGTTCAATGTGAGATTGAAACTCGCAGGCAACAAATAACTTCCAGCTGCCCCACTCAGGTTCAAATGCTCAAAAGGCAAGCATGGCGAAAAATGGCATCAAAGCCGCTGCCGCCCTCCTGGCCGGAACAACCCAGTTCACTGGCCAGCTGACTTTCCCGCCAAGCCCTGCAGACCTTGCCATCACTGCCCCTGCTGGGTTCCCATAGGGGCCAGTGCAAAAATCCAGTCTGACGCTACCCGAAGGATCCAGGAAGATGCCGCAAAAACATGCCGCTTGGGCTTCCCATACATGTTGAGTCACAAAGCGCCAAGGTGCTGTAAGTGTTCACACCCTGCGTGGCTCCAAGCATGTTCCCCGTCTATGGATTGCTTTTATGTCATTACGCAGGAAATAGGCTGGCGGGCCGGCTGTTGCTTGCTATTTGCTTTAGCTCTTGAAGAGACTTGGCTCGTGCAAAGCCCAAGGCGAAGGCAACGCGACAGCCCAAGCTGTTTTGGAAGGAAAAACCATGGTGGAAGGGGCCTTCGTCAAAATGCAGTAAGCTTGCCAGCTGCAAAGGCTGGAGAAAAAACTGCAATGGCCAATGGAAAATCCCAGTCTGGCGCTACCCGAAGGATCCAGGAAGATCCCGCAAAAGGCCTGGGCTTTGAACCAGTCCCAGCTCACAACCTCAGGTGGAATGCTTCATCTGGCCAACTTGCCGGACCGCGTTGCAGCCTCTTGGGCTTCCGGCACATGTTGAGTCACAAAGTCAAGTTGCTGTAAGCGTTCACACCCTGCGTGGCTCCAAGTGCTCCAAGCATGCTGTGCTTACTTTTTTTTCAAGAAATAGGCTGCCGGGTCGGCTTTTGTTTCTTATTTGCTTTGGTTCTTGAACAGACCGGCCTCGCGCGAAGCAAGCCCAATCGAAGGCAACGTAACAGCCCAAGCTGTTTTGGAAGGAACAACCATGGTGGAAGGGGGCCTTCAACATCGCCATGCGGTCAGCTTGCCGGCTGCTCCGGCTGCAAAGAAACTAAGAAACTGCACAAACAAGAGGAAACATGGCGGGTTCTCATGGGGGTGAGCGGAAAATCCAGTCTAATCTGACTGAAGCGGCGACTGTCAATCTGAAAGGTTGCTTTGGCTTTGATTGTGCCTGCCCTGCCTGGAATGTCTTACATGAAAGGGGGTTGCAGTTGTAACCCAACTGCTCAAAGGTCCCTTCCTCATTTAGCTCTCTCTCTCTCGCTCTATCTCTCTCTCTCCTCGCGGGACGCTTCGCATATTGCAAGTCAGGCTGGGACTAATCACTTCACTGCCCCTTGTGAATGACCACAGTCCTACCACTAGTAAGCGTGATGGCCGGTTTTGCACCAGTGCCGGCTTTGAACCCGTCGCGCAAAGCCCAAGGCGAAGTCAAGGTGACAGTTCGAGCTCTTGGCGGCGTCAAACTTCACCTGGCCAACTTGCCGGACCGCGTTGCAGCCTCTTGGGCTTCCAGCACATGTTGAGTCACAAAGCCAAGTTGCTGTAAGTGTTCACACCCTGCATGGCTCAAAGCACGGTCCCGGGCAATATCTATTACGACACAGGCTGCCTGGTCGGCTGCTGCTTGCTATTTGCTTTAGTTCAAGAGACTTGGCTCATGCAAAGCCCAAGGCGGAGGCAACGTGACAACCCAAGCTGTTTTGGAAGGAACAACCATGGTGGAAGGGGCCTTCCTCAAAATGCAGTAAGCTTGCCAGCTGCAAAGGCTGGAGAAAAAACTGCAATGGCCAATGGAAAATCCCAGTCTGGCGCTACCCGAAGGATCCAGGAAGATCCCGCAAAAGGCCTGGGCTTTGAACCAGTCCCAGCTGGTAAAACCTCAGGTGGAATGCTTCACCTGGCCAACTTACCGTACCGCGTTGCAGAATCTTGGGCTTCCGGCACATGTTGAGTCACAAAGCCAAGTTGCTGTAAGTGTTCACACCCTGCGTGGCTCCAAGCATTGTCCCGGGCAATATCTATTACGACACAGGCTGCGGTTCTTGAACAGACTTGGACCCGTGTCGCGCCAATCCCCAAGGCGAAGGTAATGTTATAACTCGCGATTTAAACCAAAGGCCTACCATTAGTCAGCATCATGAGAGCTGTCAAACCCAACAAACCAGATGACTCATGGAGGAACAACCATGGTTGCAGGGGCCTTCAGCATCGTCATGCGGTCGGCTTGCCAGCTGCTGCGGCTGGAAAGCTCTGTACAAATAACAAGAGGAAGCATCGTGGTTTCCCATACGGGCCGGTGGAAATCTAGTCAGGGCGCTCCAAACGATCCAGGAAGACCCCGCAAAAGGCAGTCCCAGCTCACAATCATAGGTGGAATGCTTCGCCTGGCCACCTTGCCGGACTGCGTTGCAGCCTCTTGGGCTTCCCACACTTCCAGCTGGCCCGCTCAGGTTCAAATGCTCAAAAGGTAAGTATGGCGAAAAAAGGCATAAAAGCCGCTGCCGGGCTGCTGGCCGGAACAACCCTGTTCACTATGTTCACTGAAAGACCAGCGGTATCAAGCTGGGCGGGCAGGTGCAAGACGGCTCAGGCTGCTAGAGCGGGCAGCCAGCGGAGGGCCCCTCACCCAGAAAAGGAAGCCGGTGGGTACCCATAGGGGCTAGTGCAAACATCCAGTCTGGCGCTCCCCAAAACGATCCAGAAAGATCCCGCAAAAGGCCTCGGCTTTTAACCAGTCCCAGCTCACAACCTCAGGTGGAATGCTTCACCTGGCCAACTTACCGTACCGCGTTGCAGCCTCTTGGGCTTCCGGCACATGTTGAGTCACAAAGCCAAGTTGCTGTAAGTGTTCACACCCTGCGTGGCTTCAAGCATGTTCCCCGACTATGATTTGTTTTTATATCATCACGCAGGAAATAGGCTGGCGGGCCGGCTGTTGCTTGCTATTTGCTTTAGCTCTTGAAGAGACTTGGCTCGTGCAAAGCCCAAGGCGAAGGCAATGTGACAACCCAAGCTGTTTTGGAAGGAAAAACCATGGTGGAAGGGGCCTTCGTCAAAATGCAGTAAGCTTGCCAGCTGCAAAGGCTGGAGAAGAAACTGCAATGGCCAATGGAAAATCCCAGTCTGGCGCTACCCGAAGGATCCAGGAAGATCCCGCAAAAGGCCTGGGCTTTGAACCAGTCCCAGCT